TGTATAAGAGACAGCACCCACACCCACACACACACACACACACACACACACACACACACACACACACACACACACACACAGTCCTAAATGCTGTTCGTGAAGCACATGACTATGCTTTGACGCTGATCCCACCGGGCAGAAGGCCAAGAGAAATGTACATGGCTGTAGGAGGGCCTCGTCGTGGAGAGTGGGTTACTTCACATAGCACAGACACTCTTTCAGTACCACAAATTGAGCAGCATTTGCGGTTTGTAGTCTCAAATAGTTATTTATATTCAAGTAATACAACCGATGGCACTCTTCGCCATCAAAGTGGTCGGTATCCCTATGGGCACCAATGCTGGTTCAGAAATTGCCGACCTTACCCTCTATTGGGACGAAGCACAGTTCATCGATAAACTTCGTCAGCAAGACCTGCCTGCAGTGTAAGCACATGCATTCACATATCGGTTCATCGATGACATTCTGGCCTGTCAGACATCCCCGCCCCCTCCACCTCGGTACGGGCTTGAGTGGAAAGACACTTCTAAGCAAGATGGCTTATGTCTTTTCCTCGGGGCAAGAATCCAAGTGCGGCCAGACGGCTCGCTTCGCATAGGTGTATTTGATAATGCCGAGGCTTGGACATTCCCCGTCATACGTTATTCCAGTGCTTCCTCCAATGCCCCAGCTCATCAGCCTGCAGGTGTGCTAATGGGACAATAAACGAGGTTCGAACACATTTGTAACAATACTACCCTCTTCAAAGCGGCAGTGACTTGTTTGACACGACGTATGCTTGTTAGGGGGCATCCTCCTAGTGTCCTGGCTAAAGGCTGGACGGCATATGTGCGTGGCCGGCAGCGCCGGCTACCCACTCATGTTACACGACTCTCCAACCAGTTTCGCCGCATGGTGCGCTGGGGCATTGCTCACCCGCTGCCGAATGCCCACTCTGCATACAGACCCTCCTCTCGACCACATGTAACAGGCCATCACCCACTCCCAAACACCAATTATGGCTGCAGGCGACGTCATCCCTCCACACAGCATGACATAGCATGTTTACCCCCTCCTTTTATTCCTGCTGAACTGGCAAACGCCAATGTGGATACGCCAGCCCAGCCAGAGAATGGGCCAGCAGCAACAAGCAATGCACACACTGCTGAGGTTGCTGTAGGCAATGAAGGCCAGCATCTTACCGATGCGGCTATCACCACCGAAAGGGTTTCTCCTTCATCACTGCCACTGCCACCACCACCACCATTACCACCTCCTGCTCCTCCAACACCATCATCACCACCTCCTCCTCCTCCACCACCACCATCACCATTACCACCTCCTCCCCTTTCGCCACCACCACCGGTATCCCCACTACCATCGCCACCGGCATCCCCACCACGATCATCATCTTCCCCATCACCATCGCCACCACCTTCCCCACTGACATCTTCTACGTTATCCCCCAAGTCATCTAACCTCTCCTCTACTGATTCTTCCTCTACTGCTTCTTCTTCCTCCCCTTCTTCTACTTCTTCTTTTTCTTCTTCTTCCTTTTCTTTCTCTTTTTCCTCTTCTCTACCCTCTTTGTCATCTCCCCCCGCCTCGTCTACCTCGTTTGATTCATCATCTTCATCATCAACACATTCCTGGTGAGATCAGCCGTCGCGGCGACCCCTTCGTCCAAGGCATCCACCGTTAAGTTGGCCGTCGCAAACACCTCATCGGCGGAGGCACTCCCCGTCTCCACCATTGTCTACAAGACAGCGACCTCGTTTGTCCATGGACAGCATGATCACTGTGGCCCCTGCAGGGGTTCGAGATCTGCACCGACGCTATGCCCGCAACTGTACAGAACGACGAGGTCGCGCTCAATACACACTAGCCCGGAATAGTACAAATCGAGTCCGATGCCAACAATGTGGCGACGATTTCTTCAGCATTACGGGCCTGCGTGTGTATTAAACATGGGGTGCGGCCGCTTGTGCATCTTTTGCACGACTGGCAGCCACTTAAGTACAAATGCGGCTGATCAGCGTCCATTACCTGCATCTAACCCACCCATTTCTCCCCCACCTGACCTTGCATGATGCCCCACCCCAATGGTCAATGACCTGCCTTCTGATCAGAGCCTCTGACTGAAGATGGCCTCTCTCCGGGGTGTGTGCTAGAGCCAATGCAGTTGACACAAACGGAGGAACCTGACAGAAACGACCAAGACCACAATGAATCTCCGCTTGCCGTGCTATCCACATAATTAAATGGACTGCGCCCTGCCGCACAACCAGCAGAATCAGATGATCTCATAGCGCTATAGCGAGGCCACTATGCGTACTATGCTATCAATGTAAGTCTCCACGATTACAATTGTAACCCTCATGCAGTTTCTAATTTCCCCAATATTGCCCGCTAGATAGAAGAAGAGCACCGTGCTGTCTTTCTAGAGGATGACAATACTGGTCATGGAGTGAACATAGCAGTCTTGTCTATGGCATTTATGGGTAGAATATTACAAGTGCAGCCTGCTCTCCAGAACCACATACCAGACATGGACTCAAATATTCGCGCGTACATCCTGCACCATGCAGGTCATTTCAGCGTTGTGACCTTTGCAGATAATTCATGGGCCTTATGGGACAAAGGTGGTAGGGTGCACACGGTAAGTAGTATTAATGTGGCTCAGTGGTTAGAGCACCGGTTGGAAATGCGCATTGTGGTATGAGGTTGCGGGTTCAAAACTCAATTGCAACCTTGCGCATGGACACCGGCAGGGCGTTAAATTGACGCACGGCTGGACACATTCCCTTGGGCTGACGCATGGTACTATTACAGACACTGCCTGCGCACCACCCAAGGGTTGTTCATGGTGTTGTATGTTGGTTCTGACTTTCACATGGGTTGCTTGGGGGTGTTGGTCTTGGGTGTTCTGTTGATCTCCCCAGTCTGGCATCACACGTTCGTGCCATTTCCACTAGCCGTTCACATGGTAGAGTCATAGGATTACATGTTTCAAGGTCACGGGTTCGAGCTTGGCTCGGATCTTGGGGGGTCCCAGCTTACCTCGTTCTCTCTTCGATATACACACATGATGCTGCCTATACATCTCGATACGTTGATTCACAGAGCACACACAGCCTTCGGGCATATACATAGCTTGCGAATTATACATGGCCTACAGGCTACATACACAAGTTTCCACACATAGTGCTGTCTGTACATCTTCATACATAGATACACAAAGCATACACAACCTTCGGGTATACACATACATTTCGAACTACACAACTATCAGACTGGGGGGGTCTAGTCATTGGGTGGGGTCTAGTATCTGCGGTAGGGACAGGTCTGGGCCGCCGGAGTTCCTACTGATATTCGGGTAGAACTGTCTAGTGGCTATATATAAGGCTTAGACCCTGGGGTAAGGGTAGGGGTATAAGTCGCTCAGGCTAGTCCGAGTTCCGCCTTGCCTTGGGTAACCAAGGGGAAGGACGGTAAGACTGCTTCAATGGGTGCTACCCTGTCTGAAACCTAGGGCCCAGAGCCTTTTGGGCCTGTAGTAGATTGTCTGAGCCTGGCGTCCGAAGTTCCCGTTCGACAAGGCTCGTCCGATTCCGCTTCCACCAGGGTTGGGCAACCTATCAGCCCTGGTGCCTATCACTGATGTTCGGTCCAAGTTACCTGCCCATTGGTAGGGTAATGGTCCTGAGTGCTGGTCACATTGAGGTAGGATAGTGAGATAAGGGGTGCGGTAGGAGTATTGACGTGAGGATGGGATGGGAGGTGGTCTCATATTCCAAGACACCCACGACCTACTGCTCCAGGTGATCACTGTGTACACAGTGACTGGTCTCTACAACACCATGGACTTTTCAAAAAAAAAAAAAAAAAAAAAAAAGTAGTATTAACTCTTTCTATAACCGAGTAGCAAATACTCATTCAATTTGGATTGTCCGTGAGGAACTTACTTCGCACCCGCAAGCGCTTCAGTCTCTGGAGAGCGATCCGGATGCACAATCACCTCCTTCCCCTGCACATGGCCAAGCAATGTCCCCTCCCTGTGTATATCGGACAGATTCTGCTCCAAACAATGAAAGAACCCCGCTAGAAGATGTTGGTTGTGCCCTTCCATTCTGTGGCCACACAGCCATAGTTCGATTAGCATGCACAATGCATAGTCTCTGCTCCGAACACTATGAAGGGATGGTCACTGCCAGCCTCTGTCGCGGAAACTGGGACTCTTTGTCTTGTCTTCATCCCCCCCACCCCCTAATCGCTTGCACAAAATGTCGCTGTGGCCTTTATCTCTCATGATTAAATAGCTGCGAACGTCAGCCTGCCTTCCTGCTGACATGTCAGCAACATACCATGTGTCATCAATATTTCGAAGAAGCTGTCATAGAAAGCATGTGTCTCTACTGCGTGTACTGTCCACGATGCCATCATCCGCCACATCCTCTCTTAGCATGTCCCACATGCAGAGTTGGGCATACACTTGCTGCAAACGCCATTGGATTTCCTTCTTTCTTGCCGGACGACCGGCAAACTCAGCAGCCTAAGCAGGAAAATAGAGTACCATATGAACCGCTTATAGAGCGCTGTACTGAAGGGCTAACACCACCAGGACGAACTGTTGCAGAACAAATCATGCAGCAACTAGACAACTTTGTTTTGGATGACCCCCTCTTGCCACAGTCGTCGCCGTCATCGGTCCATAGAGAAGGAATCAATACCGAGGAAACCCAAGACACCTGCTCAATGCCGTTCTGTGATGATCCACCTGAGATTCGGCTAGCATGTGGGTCGCATGCATTGTGTCACGAGGATTATGAAGGTACAGTCCGTGCGTCTTTTTGTTTTCATACATATGATGACAGTCAATATTGCACTCATGTCCGGCACCCTGACACGTCATGTCCAATTTGTAGACAAGGGCTCGAATGGCAATGCCTTTATAATTGCGGTCAACTTGCCTCCATGTTCCTTGCCTGTGGGAGCCATGTTGCCTGTGATATTTGTCTATGCCATGCCATTGCAGCAACTGCAACTGCGAGAATTGCACGTGATGCTTCCACAGTTCGCACCCGAATCGGTGCTGTCCGGTCTGTAGGGGTGGCCACCTACCATAGCCAACGGCTACTCCTCAACAAAAATCATCCTGCAACCCGAACACTGACTGACCTCTTATGTCATTCTAGAGTGGTCTGCTCCAACGGTGTGTATAGAGAACATACTGAACAATGAACTCTCTCTCTCTCTCTCTCTCTCTCTCTCTCTCTC